TTTGCTCCCCAAGGCCCATGCAGACTGTCGGACAGAGGTGGCGGGGAGAACATGCTTCTAGCCAGACCTTGCACCTCAGCCCCCCCACGCTGAGTGGGCCTGGCTAGCACCCACCCAGGGAACCAAGTGCGCTGCTGCCGGGCCCAGGCCCTGCTCACCTCCACCTCATCCTTCAGAATGCCGCCCCGTGGACGTGGAGGGGCTGTGGCCCTGCCAACATTGTCTGTGGAAGTCTTCTTTCTCTCCGCCCAGCCCCGCACCTACTGTGGGCAAGACTGGAAGCGCGAGGGGCAGGAAGGGAAGCAGAAGCCCAGGCCCGAGGCGCGCACTGGGGTTTGGAGGGGCGCGAGTGGGCCAGGGCTCTCCCTTCTCTCTCCTGGGTGGCCCAGCCCCAGCTGCCTTCCTGGCCGTTCTCCTTCCTCTACCCTAAACCCGAGGGCCTGGTGTCTCAGGCCACAGCCGGGAGGACTTCTCCAGGGAGCAAGGGCTCATAGCATTGCTTACAGGGGTTGCCATCTGGGCCACAGCTGGCATAGGGAGGCTGACTGAAGTCCAGAAAGTTGTTTCCAGCCGGAGTTCAGGTTGGAGACTAGTAATGTGTAGGGACTGAGAATAATAGCCCACACACTTCAGCTCAGCACTGTGATTGGGCATCGGGTTCTGCCATTTACTGGTAGGCAGCAGGAGATGTTTTCTAACCACTGCAAAGAAGGAAACCCAGGGGAAGTTAGCTCCGTGACTTGCCAATGCCGGAGCCGGGACTCGAACCCCTTCTGTTGAGCTGTAGAGCTCATCCACACCTTCTAGACCACCTTTGGCACAGGCGTGTGTGCAACAACCCCACTGCTAATCTTTTGGGGGCTTCCTTCCCTCTTGTCATGATCTCCTGACGGAGAGTATTGAGAATAACGCAGTTAAGATGTCGCTAAGTCGCAGATTGAAGGATTGAACTGTCCACACTCTAATCACGACTTCTTCCACACCAAGAGTGAGGGTGTGGGAGGAGAGGCCCTGCATGGCGGTGAATATTCCACGAAGGCCTACATGTCGCCGAGTGTGACGTGGAATGCTGTCCTGCCGTGCTGCCCAGACCAGTCCCCGGAGCTAGACGTCCCAAAAGGGACAGCAAGCTCAGGTGAGGGACCATAGTGCCCAGATTTAGCCGTAGAGGGAGGGACCAAAAAAACAAAGCCAAACTTACTGCCATTGAGTCGATGCCAACTCCAGCAGCTCCAGAGGACAAGGCATAACTAACTGCCCCTGTGAGTTTCCAAGACTGTCACTCTCCATGGGAGTAGAAAGCCCCTTCTTTCTCCCACTGGTGATTTCGAACTGCTGACCCAGCAGTTGGCATCCAAGTGCAGAACCACTCCACCCCCAGCCCTCCTAGAGGGAGAGACAAGGAGTTGGGTGCTGAATCCCAGTGGCCGACTTCAAAGACTGCCCAAGGCATAGCCTCCAGCAGAGGGCGTGAAGACACACCTGAGGAGGAAAAGTGAAGGCCACCTCCAAACCGGACACCACCTTCTCTGGGAGTCGGCTTAGTCCTCCTTCGCAGCCCCGTAGGGGAGGAGGCTGGGAGGAACCCTAGCTGTACCTCGGAGGATGGCCCAGAGGGCCTGGAGGCCCGCCTTCAAGACCTTGCTGGGTGAGGTGAGGTGAGGTGAGGTGTGGGCTGCCCTGCTGTAGACTTGAGCCAGATGTCATGGCCAGCAGGGCCTAGAAGTGCCCTTCCTTCGGGGGCAGGGGGTGTGTGTGTGAGTCCTCGCGTTCTTTCTGAGGGAGACCAGCAGGTCTTTGAAAACCGACGTGACTAGTGAGCGTGACTAGAGAACCAAGCGGGTTCGGGTGAGCAGAGAAGGTGCCCTGTGGCTGCAGGGTGACTTTGTGTAGACCTGAGGGATGGTGAGCCCTAGGACTAGAGAAGGCAGATGGCTGAACCCAAGGTGGAAAGCGGTGTGGAATTTCAGGAATCTCCCCTTCAAAGTCTACCACATGCATGGCTTCTTTCCCCTTCAAAGGCCCAACCCCAGGTGCTTCTGGGATCTGGGTCAAACAATCCACCATCAAAGCAGCCTGCAACTGCTGTGCCAAGGGACAGGAAGGGGGGGCCCCCCCCGTAAGGATATTCCCGGCCTGTTAGGCACAACCACCGAAGGTGGAAAGTCCAGTGTCCCTCAGCAGGTGAAAGGACGAAGGAGAAATCCGTGCACACAGCGGAGTGCTGCTGAGAGGTGCGGGGCTGATAGGCACAGAGGGGAACCTGGACAACGCCAGGGTCAGTGCCCAGAGTCACACAAAAGACAGGCAGGGCAGGGCCTCCCCTACATGAAATAACCTAGAACAGACACTACACAGCCACCACGGTCCTTTGTGCAGGCTGGGGCTGGGGGAGGACGGGATTTAGTGCTCGCAGGGTGCTAATGACGTTGATGGAAAGAAGTGGAGAGTAATGATGGACAGCATAGAGAATGTCATGGCTCTGAATTGTTCCCTTCAAATGGTTCCAAACGATGAATTATTTTATTGCATGTGATTTACCACAGTCAACTTGTAATGAGAGGGAAAGAGGAAAGCCTTACATTGACACACTAAGGAGGGGAAAGTGTCAGAATAATTAACTTCCGTTGTTACTCCTCTGCCTGAACAGTATCTGGCTGGTTAAGCTTCTGGCCAATGAACCCTGGGCCTCATCTACATGCACGTGCGCGCACACACACACACACACACACACACACACTACATGCACGTGAGCGCACACACACGCGCACACACACACACACACACACACACACGCGCAGTCCTCACTGTCATGGGGTCGATGGCTTTCCGACACTGCGCCTCTTTACAGAGTAGAAAACCCCATCTTTCTCCTAAGGAGCGGCTGGGGGTTTCCAACTGCTGAGCCCAACGTGCAGCCATGACGCCACCAGGGCGCCTCGTCTGAAGGGGCAGCAAGGCATTTCTCCCCACTGTGGTTTCTGCGGATGTCACTTAGAGCAGGAGGGGCTGTGGAAGAAGAATTGGCCTCAAACTGGACTGTCTCTGGAAATTTCCAAGGCCGCTCTGGGTGGTTCCGGGCTGTGGTTCTGGCCGCAGCTTGGTTCCCTGTATGCTGGGGGGTGACATCACGTGTTCCTAGGGAGTCTGGATCCAGTGCCCAGCTTTATCGAAGTATATATTTAGATGGCATGAAGTTCACCTCTTGTAAGTGGGTTTGTAATGGGTTTTAATAAATTTGAGTCATACACATGTGTCATACACATGGAATCCTACGAAGTAGTCTTTTGTAGCCAGCTTCTACTTTTGAACAAAACATTTTGAGGTTCTTCCACTGTCTTAGTTCATTCATATCTGATATGTAAACCTGCACCTACTTTACAATAATTTTTTTAAGAGGGAGAAAACTCAATTTTTAAAAATCTGATCTGTAAACTCATCTAATTCACAATGTAAAAGTTTGTGTTTTTCCCCCATTGCAACGCTTCCTTTGATCTCCCTTTTCTCCTTGCTTGATGCTTTTTCTTCCCTAAGCCGTCTTATTGGCACATATTTCATCTGTCAGTTCAGTAGTTCGCTCACAGTCATGTAAAAGCTGTACAACTTGCAGTGCAGTTAGGGCTCCGTGAAATGGTGAGGAAGACCAGTTCAGGCCATACCACCCTACCTTGTCCGCATTCTCCCTGATTTCCTTGCTTTTTTCTCTCTAGAATTAAGTCAGGTATTTAAAAATGTTAAAAATAAAATTTTGCTAGCGCCGTAGTTATTCCTGTAATAGCAGTAAGAGGCTCGCTCCTTTTCTGAGTTCCGTGTGAGGACAGTTGACAGACACTCGGGTTGTGTGGGGCCACTGGGAATGCTGCTGCTGTGAGCGCTTGCGGACAGGTCTCGCAACCTCCCTAAGATGGGTGTATCGCCTCATCCACCCAGTTGGAGTGAACAGCTTCACAGTTTTTAGGAAAGCCACAGTGCATGTGCACTGTCACGCAAAGCCTTGCCCCTCGTGGCCTCCACCCTTAGTCCCCCACTTGGGCTGGCAGAGAGCACCCCTGAGCCTCTTCCTGTCCCTCCGCTCAGCCTGTGCTGAGCCTTTCACATCGGTGGAATCAGACAGCTTCTTCCCAGGAGCACGTTGTCCCACATCATGTTCCACAGGCTAGATAAATCACACTTCGATGTCCTCCCACCCTTTGCTGCCCAGGGATTGCTTCTACCTTGGGGGGCTGGGAACATTCGTCACCCCCTTTGTCACACTCTTCTCTGTGCCCTTGTCTGAGCTGCAAGCTGTCTAGGTGAGGTGGGCAGAGCGGGGCAGCCTGCTGCTGCCGTGCCCAGGCCCACTCAGCTCTCCCATCACTGGCCATCCACCGGAAAAACTAGCCTCACCGCCAGCAGGTCCATGCCGACTCAAAGCGACCCTGTAGGACCGAGGAGAACCGCTTCCCTGGGGTCTCTGAGATTAACTCTTTACGGGAGTAGAAAGCCCTGTCTCCTGAGGAGTTGCTGGTGGTTTTGAACTGCTGACCGTGCGGTTAGCAGCCCCATTTGCAAGCACTACGCCCCCAGGGCTTCTTCAGTCTTCATCTGGGGCTGGGCTCGGTATCAGTGAATCAATGGTGCCCCCCTGCCCTCGGGCATAGACAGACGTTGCTCAGTGGCAGCCTTGTAGGCTCTGAAGTGGGTCTGACCCTGCTCTCCTGGGTGTGGGGAGCAGAGTGGGGGCATGAAGGAACCCCTCCCTGGGTTACTAGTGGGGGAGCACATTGCCTGGCATGGGGACGGTGACAGAACAGCTCGAGTCCTGAACTCGGACACCCACAGTCGTGGCAGCTGACTCTTAGGCTGTGCCCCGTTTCAGGGAAAGTTCTCTTCTTTTTCTCTCCTCTTTTCTCCTCCCGCTGACTCCCTGCATGCCAACTAGCCCTTCGGAGTCGCCCTCTGCCCCTCAGCCTCCTAAGTGGAGGGCAGCATGCCTGAAGGGGTGTCTTTTGGGTCCTCAGCCCACCGTGGGACACCTGGACTCCAAGCCCAGCAGTAAGTCCAGCATGCTGCGGGGCCGCAACTCAGCCCCCTCTGCCGACGAGCAGCCCCACATCGGCAACTACCGGCTCCTGAAGACCATTGGCAAGGGTAACTTCGCCAAGGTGAAACTGGCCCGGCACATCCTGACTGGGAAGGAGGTGAGCTCTGGGTGGCCGCACCTCCCAACCCTGTGGACACTGCAGCAGGTGGTGGTGCCCGCAGCCTCTTGAGATGAGACAGGAGAACTGAGCCTGTGGAGGCACGGAGGGCAGAGGGGGTAGGCCACGGCTACAGCCTGATCACAGAAATAACCGGTGTTCTCTTCCCTCCCTTCCAGGTAGCTGTGAAGATCATTGATAAGACTCAGCTCAACTCCTCCAGCCTCCAGAAAGTAAGCTTGAGCAACACCTGTCCTTGCCCACCTGCTCCCCACTCGTGGTCTGTTCCCCCGGGAACCTGGAGCTCCACACGAAAACCTCTGACCTTGTCCTTGCCCCCCACACCCTTCCCTGGAGCTCTGCCCTCTCCTGGGCTTTGCCTGGAGGCCCCAGGTGACTCCTCCTGGGCGGGTTTTCTGGCACAGGGTCATCATTCGGCCACTTGCCCACCTTGCTGCCCTGCGCCTGATATAAAAGCCCATTTGCATCCTTGACTAGAAACGTGTGCACCTACTCTAAGGCGTGGCGCGGTCCCCAGAAGTGGTCCTAGAAGGACAAGGATAGGGGCAGGTTCTGTGTCAGTCCTCCGGGTCTGCAGGAGGGGTGTGCCAGTCCCCGGCCGCAGACTGTGTGCACATGCAGGCCAGGCGCTCCCACTCTCTTGCCCGTCTCTGCTTCTCTTGGCTGGAGGTCACACAGGCATGTGCCGAGTCTTCAGACGAGGCTGGACTCTGGAAAACAGGTCTCCCATAGGCAGTGGGAGACATCTCCCGGCCCCAGGTATCCCTGAAAAGCAGGTAGTGATATGCATAGGAAGGATGTGGAGCGCGGTTTGGGAAAAGCTGCTCTCTCAGTGGCTGTGTGGGATGACGCTGGAGACACAAATCAGGTCTGGGAATCTAACCACCTGACCTGGATTTAGCCTCCTTACCTTTTGTTTTGTTTTGAGCTTTGTGTCAGGGGGCCCCTGTCTGAGTTGAGAGGGCCACAACCCCATGCTGGAGGACAAATGCAGTGCCACTGGAGGGCCCGGGACCAGGGGCTGGCCTTCTGGGCTGTCTTTGCCTGAGGTGCTCACAGCGTCAGAGGGCCAGAACCAAGGCGTCTTTCTTTCAAAAGAAACCAGGCTGCCTGGACCTCACCTGGCCCTCTCTGCCCCAACCCAGCTTCTCGGAGGAAGGGGGAGAGGCTGCTTGCTTCTGGCGGAGGCTACACAGGGCAGGAGAAGCCAGCTTGGTGGGGGCATTTGGTCTCTGGAGCAGACGGCCTAGCTCTCTTCCTTCCCGCTTCTCTCCCCTCATCGTCAGCAGGCCCCAGAGCCAGCCCTGAGCCTGCTCTCTTAGCAAGGCCACTCAGATTCTGGCCACACCACTCTGGTTACATTTGGTTGCAGCCCTGGAGACCCGAATAACCTCCAGGTTCTAGCCCAGCCCCAGGAAGCTGAGCTCTCCGCGGAGAAGCCACTTCCTGCCCAAGAAGTAAAGGAGACCTCTCTGCCCTGGGCAGACAGACCCCAGATAGACGTGATCGGTTGTGGAGGCAGGTGTGCAAAGGTTGGTGGCCCCTCGGGCTCACTGACAATACCCTCCTCACAATAAGCACTCGCTGCAGTCACCACTGGGAGCCCTGGGCTGGCGCCTGGGCTCCACTGCCTTCGCCCAAGACAACTAACTGGTCCAGGGAAGAAAGCCGGAAAACCCGGCCGTGTCACAGTCGGCCTCCTGGCGGTGGGAGGCCTGTCCCCGCTCCCTTTCCAGTTCACTGAAGGATGGGATGGGATGGGAAGCAGGGGCTTGCTGTTTCCATAAGCCATGGCCTGAATTTTAGAGCTCCGTGTCTGTGTCTCTCCCCCCATCCCCAAAAAACACCTGTCATAGAACCACCTCTGCTCTCTGCAGGTGGTGAGGTCTGGAAGTTAGTGAAGGAAGCCCCCACATCCAGTCTCTGCCCCCCCCCCCTCCAAGGAGGCCTTTTCTGTCATTTCTCTTTATGGAAATGGATGGTTTAGAGCCCCTGGTTTTGTTTCCCAAAGCGAGCGTGAGTGTGTGGAGGTGGATTTGATTAAAATTGGCACCAGCTATATATAGGAGTGGGTTCTTCTCTCAGCACCCGAGGCCCAAGAGTGGGGCTTCTCCCAGCCTCCCCCCACCTTGCCCTGCCCCCACTCCCCACCCCAGAGGCCCCGTGGCCAGGAAAGCATGGAGCTACTGCACAGCAGCAGCTGCTCAGGTTTGGAGGAGCCCCCATAGGAAGCTGGGCCCCGGGGGGCAGGGCAGGGGTGCAGCTGGCTTGTGCACATGCCCAACCTGGGTGAGCAGGTCAGGAGGAGAATGTTCTAGCCCAGCTTCCAGCTGTACCAGTCGAGCCACGGAGCCACAGGGAAGGGCCTTGGCCCCACCTAGTGTTCTTGGCGGAATCAGTGCCAGCTGCAGTGACTCTTTACTGGGGGCCAGGGGCCAAGCAGGCATGACCGCCGGTGTTCTCTTTTCCAGCTATTCCGAGAAGTACGAATAATGAAGGTTTTGAATCATCCCAACATAGGTGAGAACCACTGCTGTCCACTATCTAGCCTGCCCTCCTTTGCCCGGGCCCTGGCCATCTAGAGGGATGGTCCGAGGCTGCCTCTGGGGCAGATCCCCTCAAAGTGCCGCTGCCACTCCAGTCCTGATAGTTGGCTGGCATGAGAGGAACTTTGGGGGTAGGGGCGAGAAAGACGCTTCCACCCCCGGGATGGCCCCGTCGGGTTGGGCCCTGCTGCTGCTTGAACTCGGCGCTGGGCCTTTTCCCCTGCAGTTAAGTTATTTGAAGTGATTGAGACTGAGAAGACGCTCTACCTTGTCATGGAGTATGCCAGTGGAGGTAGGTGTAGGTGTGAGTCTGGGTCACCTCTTCCTGTCGCCAGCACCCCAGCTCCCCAGCAGCTCAGGCCGAGTTCTCTGCCCCTGTCTCTTTCAGGAGAGGTGTTCGATTACCTCGTGGCTCACGGCAGGATGAAAGAAAAAGAGGCACGAGCCAAATTCCGCCAGGTGACTGACTCCCTCCCTGCCTGCCCAGGCCTCTGAGTGACCTGTGGCTTGTCTGTGCTGTAGCCTAGACCGAGGGCCCGGGCCACACACAGCTCAACTAGCCTCTGTGACCCACTGTCAGGTGCCCTGGACTGACCCTTCTCCCTGCCTTTCAGATCGTGTCTGCTGTGCAGTACTGTCACCAGAAGTTCATTGTTCACAGAGACTTAAAGGTGAGGCCACTGTCAGCCTTGGCCCCCTCAGTGGGGGCTGGGGTGGTCTCCCCTACGCTCACCACAGCATTGTATCCCGCCCAATATGCGCCGAAACTCCAGCCTCTCATTTCTTTTTGAGACACACAGGAAGCACCTAGGACTACTTCTCATGGAGCCTTAGGACAGGCTGCTGGGTTCCATGCCACCAGGGGAGTGGAGGGTTTTTGTCACTTCAACTCTCAGAACATCCTCTTCCGGCCCTCGCTAGCCTGGCGGGAGCCTCAGGCATTGCTGGTCCATCAGGCAGCGGGGGGCACGCCGAGGGGAGAATGTCCGACGCCTGTGTGGCTCGGGTTTTGCAGACACCATCTCCTTGCTGCCTTGTGAAAGTTGGAGCCTGCCTACCTAGTGGGCCTCTGCAGACCCGCTCGAGCTCCATTAGCCTGGGCGCAGGCTGGCGCTTGGGCTGCTTGCTGCTTCACACCTCTTGGAGCCTTCAAACCCCAGCGCTCTCTCACAGAGAGAGCTAGGCCTTTTCAGACAGGACCTGCCCAGCAATGGAGCGGCGGGGGGGCGGGCGGTATTTCTAAGATAATTTCCTGGATGTTCCCCCCTTTCCCAGGCTCCTTCCTGTCTCTGCCCCTAGTGTGTCCTGCGGACTCTGTCCTGCTGACGTTGTCACCTTACCTCCCAGGCAGAAAACCTGCTCTTGGATGCCGATATGAACATTAAGATTGCAGACTTCGGCTTCAGCAACGAGTTCACCTTTGGGAACAAGCTGGATACCTTCTGTGGCAGTCCCCCCTATGCTGCCCCAGAACTCTTCCAGGGCAAGAAGTACGATGGGCCTGAGGTGGACGTGTGGAGCCTGGGTGTCATCCTGTACACACTGGTCAGCGGCTCCCTGCCCTTCGATGGGCAGAACCTCAAGGTAGGATGACTTCTCATCTCCTCTCGTCTTAGCCCTGATCTCTCACCTTTGCCACCCCTCCCCATTTCTCCCAAGCCAGAGCTTCAAACAGGGGCTTACTCACCGGAGCAACAGGTCAAAGGTGCTCTTCTCCCTCCCGGCCTGCTGTGTGTGGTTGAGTTGAGTCTCCCGGCTTGTCGTGTTACGTATGACTGCGTTGATCCTCCCGGCCTGCTGTGTGTGGTTGAGTTGAGTCTCCCGGCTTGTCGTGTTACGTATGACTGCGTTGATCCTCCCGGCCTGCTGTGTGTGGTTGAGTTGAGTCTCCCGGCTTGCTGGTGTTGGAGCATCGAGTCAGTTCCCAGCGTAGCGACCTTAGGCAGAACAGAAGGAAACACTGCCTGGTCCTGTAGCATCCTCAAACTTGTCCCTCTCCTGAGGGCCTTCCTCTTCCTCCCTGCCCCTCTGTGATGCCCAATATGATGTCCTTCTCCAGGGACTGGTCTCTCCCAACACCATGTCCAAAGTATGTGAGATGAAGTCTCACCATTTTTGCCTCTAAGGAGCACTCTGGCCGCACTTCTTCCAAAGGCCGGTTGGTTGGTCCTTTCAGCGTCCCTGGTACTTTTGAGCTTCTTCTCTGGCACCCCCATTCCCATGCGCCTGTTCTCCTCCAGTCTTCCTTACTCCATGGCCAACTGTCATCTCCATGGGGGACAGTTGGAAATACCAAGGCTTGGGTCAGGCGCAGGCTACCTTAGTGCTCAAAGTAACAAAGTAACGTTTCCGTGTTCGAGAGAGGTCTTGTGCAGCAGCTTGACCAGCTGCCCTGTGCTGTTGGAGTCTTGACTGCTGCGAGGCTTCCAAGCAGAAGAAACCCTTGACAACTTCACATTTTCCTCCCTTTATCGCGATGCTGTCACCTGGTCGTCTTTACATTTGCACTGAGTTGTGACAACTATGACAGGCAGGCTGGGTCAGTGTTCCTGGTATGTTGGTGTCGTGTGGTTGGGCTGGTTCTGAGTGGTTTTTCTAAGCTGCCCTCACTCTGGGAACAGATGACTGGATCTTTTTGCCACGGAGCAGTTGGGTAGGTTAGAACTGCCGACCTGACCTTTTGGTTTACACCACTAGGGCTCCCAGCTTCACCTCCCTGCCAGAGTCAATCCCTGTGTGATAGAGACTGTCACTCTATAAGGCAGCGGTTCTCAACCTGTGGGTCACGACCCTTTTGGGGGGTTGTCAAACTACCCTTTCACAGGGGTTGCCCGATTCATCACAGTAGCAAGCTGACAGTGATGAAGTAGCAACGAAAATAATTGTATGGTTGGGGGTCACCACAGCATGAGGAACTGTATGAACGGGTCGAGGCATGAGGAAGGGTGAGAACCACTGGTCTAAGAGAACATGAGAGCCTCGTCTTTTTTCCTAGGAGCAGCCTGTGGTTTCAAACTGCTGACTTTGAGGTTAGCAGCCATGACGCCCCTGGGGCTCCCAGCTTAGTGACCCCCGTTTCTTTTTAAAGAGATGGCCTGAGCTTGTGTGAGTGTTCCCTCCTTCAAAGCTCTCTCTCCCTCACTGCCGGCCCTGCCTCCCTCGGGACCTGCGCTGTCCCAGGCCACCTTCCTCCTCCAGCCGTAGTTCCCTAGTTCCCGAGGTCAGCCTGACCAGTCCTGCGCCCCAAGGATCCTAGAGGTTCCCTTCTTTCCCTTGACCTTCAGCTCATTGCACTTGCCTAACTCCAGAACCCCCCTCTAGGAGCTGCGGGAGCGAGTATTACGGGGGAAGTACCGTATTCCGTTCTACATGTCCACCGACTGTGAAAACCTGCTCAAGAAATTTCTCATCCTCAATCCCAGCAAGAGAGGCACGTTAGAGGTGAGCCACCTGGGCAGCTGCCCCGGGGGCCCTGGGTTCCCTCGGGGCTCTCCCAGCTGAGCGGCCCCTTCCTGTGTTCACACTCCAGCAAATCATGAAAGACCGGTGGATGAACGTGGGTCATGAAGATGATGAGCTGAAGCCTTACGTGGAGCCAGTCCCTGACTACAAGGACCCAAGACGGACAGGTGAGGTCGTGCTGGGCTGTGGGGTTGGGCCGCCACAGGGTCCGTACCAGCCTAACCATGCCCCGCTGTGCAGAGCTGATGGTGTCCATGGGCTACACCCGGGAAGAGATCCAGGACTCGCTGGTGGGCCAGAGGTACAACGAGGTGATGGCCACTTACCTGCTCCTGGGCTACAAGAACTCTGAGGTGCGTGCCTTGCTCACCTGCCAAGCCCATCTCCCAGGAGGTGTGCTCTCTGCTCTCTGCCGCCAGTCCTCAGCCCCGCTCAAATGCTCCGGTTCTCTAGCCCTTGCTGGGCTCCTCTTCACCAGGGGGCAGCTGGAGGGGCTGGTCTTGACCCTATGCGTGATTCTGGTTCAGTTCTATGCTGGCGAGACCGGCTCTAGATCTGTCTGTCTGGGTCTTCCACTCTCTGGCACTGCCCTTCAATCCTGGGCATCTGTGCACGGGGTTCTGTGGGCTTGACTTTCTCACTGCATCGGTAAGTGTGCAGCTTTGTGTGTGTATGCGCATGTGCGTGCGTGTGTGTCTGGGAGTATATGTGTGTCTGGGTCTAGGTGTGTGTGTGTGTGTGTGTGTCTGGGTCTGAATGTGTGAAGGTGTGTCTACCTCCCATCTCTGGTCCCTCTGGGTAACCAGGCCATGAAGGGGTGGGGCTCAGGGATATCAGGGAGAAGGGTTCTGTCCATCCGTGTCTCCCTGGTGCTATTGGGCTCCATCCCATGGTTTTTGCCTTAACCTTCCCTTGACGTGATGCCTGGGGGAGCCTGTGCCAGTCGGCAGGGGTCTCAGGCTGGGTATTGGTTCTTTAGGGGTGGGATGTGCCTGTGTGCTGTTGCTGGGCCTGTGGTAGGGCACACAGGCCTCCGTGGTCTTGAGGGATGAGGTGGGGATGTCTGGGTGTCAGGGTTTTTACATAGCTTCCCTTCCTGGATACCAAGTGTCTTCTTCTTGCAGCTGGAAGGTGACACCGTTTCCTTGAAGCCACGGCCTTCAGCTGATCTGACCAATAACAGTGCCCCGTCCCCCTCCCACAAGGTACAGCGCAGTGTCTCAGCCAACCCCAAGCAGCGGCGCTTCAGCGATCAGGGTGAGTGCGCTGCCGAGTTCCCGAGCAGGGTGCTGAAGGGCTGGCTCACCCTCTACAGAGACGGCACAGCACCAAGCTTCAGCCGTTCTGTTGTTGTGTGGCCTTAGTCTGCGGTGATCACGCGCACGGTGGGTCTCTGTGGGCCTGGCCTTACCCTTGCCCCGGCCCTCTGACCCCACAGCTGGTCCTGCCATTCCCACGTCCAATTCCTATTCGAAGAAGACTCAGAGTAACAATGCAGAGAACAAGAGGCCTGAGGAAGACCGGGAGTCGGGCCGGAAGGCCAGCAGCACTGCCAAAGTGCCCGCCAGTCCCCTGCCTGGTCTGGAGAGGAAGAAAACCACCCCTAGTCCCTCCACGGTACGTTACGCCAGGCCCTCCCTGCTGCTCGCGGCACCTGTCCACCAGGCTGCTCTTCTACTGCCAGACTCGCATCCTTTTCTCTTGGGCTGCCATGGCCCTAAGCTGCTGGCCGTGGTGCCTGGCGTAGAAGCGAGGCCACCTGGCTGGCCTAGACTTGGATTTCCCTCATGCGCCTCTCGCTCATTATCCCCACAGAACAGTGTCCTCTCCACCAGCACGAACCGCAGCAGGAATTCCCCACTTCTGGAGAGGACCAGCCTTGGCCCGGCCTCCATCCAGAATGGCAAAGACAGGTGAGCAGGCCTGTGTCGACCGGCTGCCCTCCTGAGGAGCGGCACCCCTTCTATCAGCCTCTCCCAGCTGGAGCACTACTCCTCTGTTCAGTCCAACTGTCCACTCTCACCCCCCCCCCCCCCCCCCGCCCCTTGCTTCCCCATCTGTTCCCCACTCCACTACCCTGCACTGGACTGAGGGGGCTCTCGGTGGTCCACTGCAGCCAGGGCTTGCCAGCTGCCCACCTCTGGCAGTCAGAACTAGAGGAGCCTATCTGAAGGCTATGCATCCAGGCAGGCTCCAGCCAGGCCTTCTCCACCAGGAAGGCACGGTCTCCTGACCTGTCAGGCGTGGGGTGGGCTGAGCTCCCAGGAGGAAGCTTGCCTGTGCCGCGAGTTCCCTGGGGACCAGTGCAGCTGCACGCAGGCAGCGGCTCCTGGTGCCTGTGCCTTCTGTCCCACATCCTCGCACTCTGCTCCTTACCTCTGGCCCTTTGCCGCCCCTGCGGCTGCCTGTCTTACCCCCTAACCCAGGCCTCTCCGCTGCTTGTGTCTCCTAGCCTAACCATGCCGGGGTCCCGGGCCTCCACGGCTTCCGCTTCAGCCGCAGTCTCCGCGGCCCGGCCCCGCCAGCACCAGAAATCCATGTCGGCCTCCATGCACCCCAACAAGGCCTCTGGGTTGCCCCCCACGGAGAGTAACTGTGAGGTGCCACGGCCCAGGCAAGTGTGCTGGGTGGCTGGTGCACCTGCTGCCTCCAGCCTGCTCCCCCCAGCCCCCTAGTCTCTCCTTTCCATCTGGGGTCCGATTCTATACCCCTGCAGCAAGGGATCCAGAAGCAGCCAAGGGCCACACCCTCCTTCCCAGAGCAAAGAAGGGGCTTGAGGACCCAGAGGAGGAGCCCCTTCTCTCTGAGCCTTCTGGGCTCTCCTAGCACACGGCCGGAGGCCGGTCGCCAGGAGCCCTTTCTCTCCAGCCTGCACTGCCGCCATCTCCTCCATGTGTCTTCTTCAGGAGTCACCCCTTCCTTCTGTGTCCAGCGCGATGGCTGCCTCTGGTCTGGCCTCCCCTCCCCGTCCCTCCCACCTCAGGCTGCCCAGGCTCTTTCCAGGTGCTGATCCCTTCCCCTCCACCCTCTTTTCCCACAGCACAGCCCCCCAGCGTGTCCCTGTCGCCTCCCCCTCCGCCCATAACATCAGCAGTGGAGGAGCCCCAGACCGAACCCACTTCCCCCGGGGCGTGTCTAGTCGAAGCACCTTCCACGCCGGGCAGCTCCGACAGGTGCGGGACCAGCAGAATCTGCCCTACGGTGTCACCCCAGCCTCCCCCTCCGGCAACAGCCAGGGCCGGCGGGGGGCCTCCGGAAGCATCTTCAGCAAATTCACCTCCAAGTTTGTACGCAGGTGAGAAGGGAGGCAAGGGGGTGAGGCAGCGGAGGCCAGACCTGCCTGCTTCTGGGGCTTAGGGAGGCTTGGGGAGCCCAAGAAACTGGGCCCCACCTGGGGGTGGCCATGGTTCTTATCAACACTGTCTCTGCCCACCCATCCCCTCTTGGGCCTCTCCCCAACTCCACACACCCCTGTTCTCTGGTCCCCAGCAGATGGCCGCCGCCTCCTCTCTAGGAGGGTGTGAACTCGGATGCTAAAATAAAAGCCCCCTCTTCCCGCCTGGGTTCCCATGGAAACTTATATTTGGTGACGCAGCTGTAAAGTCAGGAGGCATGAGCCAGGCTGGGCCAGCAAGGAACACATGCCGCTCACCCGTGGTTGTGATTCTCAGACCAGCGAGGAGGGGCCTGCCTGCAGGGAGCTTTCCCAACTGAAAGGAGCAAGGGCCCTGGAGGCTCTCCTGATGTGCCCCCTGGCTTGGGGCTCAGGTGGGGATCTGGAGAGCTTTGATTCTTGAGGTGCACCTAGAAGCTCTCTGCCTTTTGGGGTGTGCCCTGCCCCTTCCCACTCCTTCCTCCCACTGCTGTGGAGCAGGGACTCAGGAAGCAAGAGAGGGCTTTGAGGAAGCAGGCTTCCCTGCCCCGCCCACTGTCTCCCACTCTCCCCTGCCAGAGGGCCCAGGTGGCAGAGGGTGCAGTGGGTGGGCGGGGGCAGCAGCAGATCTGGACAGCTCTGACTCTAGTCTCGCTGAGCGGCTCTTCTAAACCAGAGGTGACCCCCAAACCTGAAAGCCCACTCCCCACCTGCTTATCCACATACCGTCTTGTTGGTTGTTTTTTTTTGTTTGTTTGTTTTATTTTATTTCTTTTTTTATTTTGTCTTTTTTTGTTTGTTTTTTTAGAAATCTGTCTTTCAGATTTGCCAGAAGGTAGGCGTTGAGTCCACTGGGGGTGTGTGTCTGTCCTGTGTCCTGCCTCCATCACTAACCCCCATCTTCCGGCTCCTGCTCCTCCTGCACCTGCTAACCGTGCCTGTGTGGCCTCCTCTGTATGCCATCTTAAAGGGATGAAGGGGGGCTCCGGGCTTCGAGATGAGGGGCCTTGGGCCCACCCAGCAAGAGGGGTCTGCTTGGGGAATTCTCCCTTTAAGATCAGCCTGCTTCCCTGAGGGTTTGGGTCACCCCATTGGGCTCTGGTTCTGTCCCTCAGCCCTCCATGTGCATGCTCTGCGAGGAGCCTCGCTGGTTGAAAGGACATCTGGACTCCCCCTTCCCTCTGGGCTCGCCTGGACACCTCCCTACCCCCCTCTGCCCAGGGTACACCAGGGCTGCCTGACCTCTCACTCTGTCCTGTGGGATGGCTGGACTCTCGAGGTGCTGCAAGGGACATGGGCACCAGCCCAGGTGGCAGTCTGGGGCCTCCAGGCCCAACAAGCCTTGCTCATGAGTGGAGCACAGCGCCCCCTTCTGGCGGCTCCTGCTGAGCTAGACAGCCCTCCCACCCTCACTGCCTGCAGCTGCCCGTGGATGGGGGTAGATGAAGCCCCCATCTGACTGTATTCACCTGCCATGGTCTTGGGGGCAGGCGTGGGGTGGCGAGGTGCAGCCCCAGGAGGTGCTTGGGCCATCTGCCCCACGTCCTGAGAGGAGCTGGGGGCTGCCCTCCCTCCATTGGGGCTGGACCAACTGGCACTCCCACTAGTGCCGGCCTGTTTGGACAAGCTGTCAAGCAGGGTCTCAGGGTGGCCCACTCCACCCCCACCACCCCCAGCCTGTCACTGCATGCCTGTCTGCTGCACAGGGTCCTGGGGTGGGAGGGCTGCCCTGTAGGGGTGGGGGGTGCTCTGTCTCTCTAGCAGGGCTGGAGAGAGCAACTGGGGGCTCCTGCCTGCACCGAGCAGCCACTGCAGAGCTCGCTCTCTTCCTCGTCGCCACTGTCTGTTCCTTTACATGTGCTGCCACCGCTGCCCTCCTCCTCTCTCTGCCTCTGCCTCCTGCCCTCCTGCCCTCCAGCCCTGCACTTCCTGCTGCCAGGCACCCACCTTCCGGCCAGGAGCTGGAGAAGCCGCTCAGCGGGGCCAGACCTCTTCCCCACACGCCCTGCCCTGGACCTCGACCTCCCTTCTGCCCCAGCAGATGGCTGGCAGGCAGGCAGTTAGGGAGGGGCCTCCCCACAGCCCGGCCTCAGGGGCCAGACCCTCCCCTGAAGGATCCCCAAACACACAGCAGCACCTTCCCTCTGCAGTCCAGGACAGCCACCCCCACCCCCCACCCCAAGCCAGGCAGAAGGCCCCCTCCCTATCCCTGTGCCCAGCAGTCCTCTTCCGAGACTGTGGGAGGACAGGAGGACAGATAGGGACAGTTGAGCTGCCGGCGAGAGGGGCCGAAGAGCTGTGTTGACCTGCCAGGTGATGGGCAGGTGGCCTGTGGGCGGGGGTCCTGTCCTCCCACCAGTGGCGCCCACCTTGGGTCTGTGGCGGAAGGAGCGAGCGAGCGAGCGAGCCTGCGGCCCCAGCACTAAACTCTCCCTCGCTCTGTTTTTTGAGGAACCTGAATGAACCAGAAAGCAAAGACCGGGTGGAGACGCTCAGGTGAGAGGGTGGAGCCAGCGCCGGCCCCGCCCAAGCCTCCGCCTCCGCCTCCGCCTGCGCCTGCTCCGCTCTCCCTCTGCCACTGGCTCTCCCTCTGGGGTCCTTGCCCTGCCTTCTCAGACCAGCCCACAGCGGCCCTGCTCAGGCCCGCTGTATTCTGGAAGGAGCTGCCCTGGGCTGGGCTGCTGGGGCTGTGTTGCCTGCCTCTTGACCTCAGCTCTTCCCTCTGGGTAGACAGTCCGCGAACTGCTCCGGACCTGTGAGCTCAGCTCCCACAAGTCGCCCAGCCCTCCTCCCCTCGCCCCAGAAAAGGAACTGCGTGGAGCCGTCCCCTCTCAGGGGCTGTCCCTTGCCCTCCTTGGCTGGGGCCTCCTCAGCTCCTGCCGTCCTCTTCCTGCTCGGGTCTCAGGGCCTTGCCTGCTTTGCCTGCCTGCCAGGGGGGCTGGCCCGGGTGGGGTGCCTGGGCCGCCACCTGACGGCGCCTGTGCCCTCTCGCAGACCTCATGTGGTGGGCGGCGGCAACGACAAGGAGAAGGAGGACTTCCGCGAAGCCAAGCCCCGCTCGCTGCGCTTCACGTGGAGCATGAAGACCACGAGCTCAATGGAGCCCAACGAGATGATGCGGGAGATCCGCAAGGTGCTGGACGCCAACGGCTGCCAGAGCGAGCTGCACGAGAAGTACATGCTGCTGTGCGTGCACGGCGCGCCGGGCCACGAGGACTTCGTGCAGTGGGAGATGGAGGTCTGCAAACTGCCGCGGCTCTCCCTCAACGGCGTGCGCTTTAAGCGGATATCGGGCACCTCCATGGCCTTCAAAAACATTGCCTCCAAAATCGCCAACGAGCTCAAGCTTTAACGTGCCCCGAGTGGGGGCGCCCGGGCGGCCCGCTGGACTTCGCTGCTGGGGCTGCCGGCCGCCTCCCGCCCCGGGCGGGCCAGACTGCAGACCGGACTCGGTTGTCGCCCCCTGCTGGCCCATCGCCTCGCCTCCTCGGTTCCTCCCGTCAGTGGGCGCGGGCGGGGGGCGGCGCCCAACCCCCCCACGTTCAGTCCTGCCCCTCCCTGCTCCCCCCTGGCCCCCACCGGAGGCAGAGGGCGGGGCGGGCGGCCGGCGGGGCGGCCCCTCGGCACTGCGGTCGCACAGAGTATTTCGCCTAAACCACAAATTTTTTTATTACCAAAAAGAAAAAAGAAAAAAAAAATCCCAGCAGCCACCTTTCCTCGCTGCCCCGATGGGACAGTTGAGACTGGATCTCTGGGGTCTCCCGGGAGGGTGGCTCCGGGCTGGAACACTCTCAGGCAAGAGTGGTGGGGTCCCCGCCAGTCCCTCCGCCAGGCCCGCTTTGGGCAGTTCGGCGCCCCTTCCCTCCAAGCGAACCACCAGAGGTGGCCTTCCCCTGACTTAAGGCCCCGAGCTTGAGGCCTGGGCAGCTGGGGAGGGGGCTGCCAGGTGAGGCTGGGGGCACTGGTTCCCTCACACTGTATCCTCTGCCCACCCTGCTGCCCCCGAGCCGGCCACTTCCTTCCACAAGCTGCTGTGGGGGCATCCGTTCCCCTCCCAAGTCTGTGCCATCTTCCCCACCCTCTCCCCGCTAGGAGGGGTGGACCCCAGGATGGGGGCAGCCGGGCAGAGGGCTCCTCAGCCCTTTGTCTGCAAGCACACCCCACCTGACCCTGCCTCCCACCACTTCCCTCCGTTGGCATTAATCTGGGCACCAGCTAGCCCGCAGCAGTGACTCCTCATGCTCCCATTCGGCCCTGCCTTTTCTTCCTGACACTGTCCCCCCCCTCCCGCAGGAGGCACTGCCCTGGGCCTCCGTGGGGGCCTGGCCAGGAATGACCGGCCTCCCGAGTGAGACAGCCTGGTGAAGCAGCTCCCAGTTCACCTTCGGGTGGAGGTGGGGAGGGGGGGGTTATGGCGCTTGGCTGGTGGTGGCCACTGCATCCCTTAATTTATTTCTCTGCTGTTTCTGTTCTTGAGAATTGGGGGCGGGGTCCTACAGAGGCTGCCCCACCCCCACCTGAGTTGTACATTTTTTTGTGATGGGTTTTATTTTTTATTTTTTGATTTATGATGACTCCACTCCTGTCCATCACCCCCACTCCCCCAGGCCGGCTCAGTGGCAAGAGGAGCCCTTGGGTCCCAGGAAGGGGGCCTGCCCACCTCAGCCCTCCTGCTCCATGCCCCCAACTTGGGGCTCCAGCTCAGACCAAGGGCTCCCCCCTCCACCCCAGGGGACAGCCCGGGTGCTCTGAGGGGGCCAGGAGGGCATGACTTGGCCCCCAAAGGGGTGGGGGCTGGGGGGGCCCCCAGGCAAGGTGGCCCCTCCCCACCCAGCCCCTTTCCTGCACTTAGTCTCTCCTCTGGATCAACTCGTAATAAAGAGAATGTTTGGAATCTGAGCCGCGCCTCCCATTGCTTCACCCACCCAGCAGCAGGGTAGGGACCCAGTCCCTGAGGGCAAGACTGGGCTGAGCCTGATGGAGAACTTGGCCTGGGTGGGCCTGCCCTTCCCCTGGGCGCAGACAGAAGCCAAGCCCGGGGGGGCCCTTCAACAGACAGAACAAGGTCAGCTTGGGAGCTTTTATTTGTTTTTTAAAAATGTTGAAAAATAGACCCAGGTCTGTGAAGTTCCCAACCCCCCCGCCCCTTTTTCCCTCAAACGTGGGCACTCAACTTGCTCTATCGTCCACTCCCCACAAGTACCCCCCTCCCAGCTCACCCCAGACTTATTGCTCAAAGAAGGCAAAGAGGAAGGGGAGCAGTCAACACCTCCCCACCCCAGCCCCACTAAGGTAGCTACCCGCACACAGGACAGGGCCCAAAGCCAGCCCAGCAGCCATCCGGGGCCCCGCCGCGGTGGGGCAGAAAGCGGCCCCACAGGGCCATTGGCCAGGCCCAGGCCCTGGCCTGGGAGGCGGGTTTAGGCCGGGGGTCGCAAGCAGTGCCACAAAGTCCACCGCTGGTGCCCATGACCCTTTGTCCGTCCCTTCTGTCCTCGGTGTCCCCTGAGGTTCCCGGGGATGTTCAGCAGAGGGGTCCAGAGCCTCTGGTCGGCAACAGAGCTCAGAGTGAGGGCGCTGGGGGCTCCAGGGGGGTTCCGATCAGGGCTGGTGGGGGCTGGGGACCTGAACGGGCACTGTGGCGGGAGGCGGCCAGAGCAGGGCGGATGAGTGGTGGCGGTGGCTGATTGGGGGCCAGCCGCGGCTGCAGGAAGCGGCCCTGCTGCAGTGGGGGGGGCTGGCGAAGCAGGGTGGGTGCGGTCGGCAAGGGTGGCCTCAGCAGCGGGGGTGGCTGGGACAAGGAGGTGGGTGGCGGTGGGGGGGGCGGTGCAGGGGCCACCCCTCGAGGCACAGCTGTGGAGACAGACGTGATCTGGACCTGGGGAGAAAAGCGGGTCAGAGCCAGGCCGACCGACACCTTCGGCCCAGTCTGGGCCTCTCCTCTCTGCTCTGAGGGGCAGCTGTCTGGTCCACCCCTCCTCACCTCATCCTCCTCCTCTAGGGCTGGGGCTGGCAAGGGAGCCCCTCTCCTAGCTTCCTCCAGGGGGCCCGGGGCACCAGGGGCCCCATCCTGCTCGGCCTCCCATTCCTGCAGCACCTCCTCGAGATTGAAGCGGCGCCGGTAGCTCACAAAGAAGGTCTTCACCTGGGTCAGCGTCTTGTTCCCAATCACCTCCGCAATAGCCCCAAAGTCCTTGCCATACCTACGGATGGCTGCAAGGGTCAAAAGGGCAGCGTGTGAACAACCCTCAGAGCTAGTCCCTTTTGCTGGTCCTTCCCCTCTGCCCCCAGTTCCTCGGAGGGCGGGGAAATCGATTTTGGGGTCGGGGGGTGTGGGCCTCCACTCTCCCACCGGTCCAACTCACCCTGCACAGCCAGGAGCTGCTCATCTGTGGTCCAGCGAGAGTTGAACTTGGTGTTAGCCTGGAGAGCCAGAGGGTTTGTTCTTGAAGCCCTGCTCCCCACCCAGCACACCCTTCTCTGCCCTACCTCCTCCAGAGAACCCCATTTCTGCACCCAAACTCACCTCAGGGGGGCGAAGGGGGTCGATGCCGCCCTCCAGGGCCTGGCGGAGGCTGCTGTTGGTCTGCTTCATGCTCTGCACCTGGGCAGGCAGATGCAGACACAAGAGGAACCCTTAGCGTTAGCAGAGCCCGCCCCTAGGCCCCATACCACTCTGCGGTGACACCACCACCAAACCCGGCTCCCTCCTCCCTCTGGGGTGAGGGGTGGTCTTGCTGCTTTTTCCCCAGGTTGAGACAGTAAATCACCTATAATCCTGCACGCCGGGCACTTGCACCTTCTCCCTCGGACCTCAGCCCCCCCCACTACCGAAACTTCG